CTCTTTTGCAGACCACAACACCCAAAAGGAGAGAGAGAACACAGGGGATTGCCCTGCCACAGAGACGGGGGGATGGGGGGATGGGGGTGGGAGGGATATTATCCATGGTGGTGGAAAATGGGCACTGGTGGAGGGATGGGTATCTGATCATTGTATAATTGAAACCAAAGCACACAAAATTGTAAATCTACAACTTTAAAAAAAAATAAAATAAAATAAAGGGAAAAAAAAAAAGAGTAATTTGATCAAGAATGTTTTTAAAACTAAGGAAAACATTCTAAGTATTCCTAATATAGAACAAAGCAGACTTCTTACCAAATAACAAAATTATATTAGAGCTTTTTAATCAGAGGAATAGAAAAATTGAGAAAAACAGTGAAGTCATGCATATATAAAAACTTGATTTATCTAGAGTTGAAGCAGTAATACCAGAAAAAATAACTACTGTGATAAATTGCCCCGGGACAATTTGTGATCCATAAGGAGTAAAGCAAGTTTTTTTTTTATCTCACTGAGTTTTGGTTCTCACTCAGGTTACTTAACATGATAAAAGACTGTTAAAGTTAGTGTTATTTATGTAGAAATTTATTGCGCCCCACCAACACCAAAGTACCTAAGACTCCCCACCACTCTCCCTAGGTCGCCTATAGTCCACCTCTCCTTACCTCCCTTTCTTCCTCCTATTGCTTACTGACTTTGTAATCCAAGGCTAAGAGCTTATCATTGTTTATTATTCTCTATTCTCTTATTTTGTCTCTCTTTGAGTGAGACCATATGGTATCTGTCTTATTTCCTCTGATTTATTTAGCATAATAAATAAATCTACTTCCATCTACTTCCATCCACATTGCACAAACTACATGGTTTTATATTTTGTACAGCTGCAAAATATTCCATTACATAAATCCGACAGACATTCTCTGTCCATTCATCTGTCATTGGACATTTGGGTTGTTTCCCTGTCCTGACCTTTGTACTAAATGTTGCAATGAACATAATTGTTGATGTTACTGTCACTGTCACTGTCCTCCCGTTGTTCATCGATTTGCTCGAGCAGGCCCAGTAACATTGTGAGACTTGTTACTGTGTTTGGCATATCCAATACGTCACAGGTAGCTTGCCAGGCTTTGCTGTGCGGGCAAGATACTCTTGGTAGCTTACTGGGATCTCCTAGAGGGGTGGAGAAATTGAACTCGGGTCAGCCATGTTGGCTGCATGCAAGGCAAATGCCCTACCTGGTGTGCTATCGCTCTATCTCTTCAAATTAATAATTTTGTGCTTGGGGGTAAATGCTATGATATGTAATTTCTGAACCATATGAAAGTTCTATTTTAATGTATAGATTTTATACTGTTTTCCATCAGAGCTGAACACATGTTATTCTCACCTTCACCAGCAGTAAATTAGTTCCTTCCCAACACATGCGTACCAACACTGTAGTTCTAGGTCTTCTTCATATATGTTATTATAATTGGTATGAGATTATATCTCATTGTTATATTGATTTGTGTTTTCCTAATAATTGACAATAAGCATTGTTTCATATACCTACTAACAATCTGTATGTCCTCTTCAGAAAAGTGTCTGTATATCTCCTCTCCCTATTTTTGATGTGGTTACTAATTGTGACATCTTATTATCTCATTCTTACTTTGGACAACCTGGCAGGCTACCAAATGTAACCTGCCCACACGGCAGAGTCTGGCAAATTCCCCGTGGTGTACCCAATATGCCAAAAACCAGTAACATTATCCTGAACCTAAAAGAGCCTCGAATGTGGCACTTTTTAAAATCTCAGGGCTAGGACAAAGGAGATGTTACTGGGGCCTGCTTGAGAAAATCGAAGAACAAGAGGAAGGCAGTGATACAGTGATACTAATTTTATTGTTTTTAAGCTTTGTGACTGTTTTATATAGCTTGGTTATTAGTTTTTTATCTGATGTATATGTATATGATGTACATATTTTCTCCTGTTCAGTGGGTTGTCTTTTTAATTCAGCCTGGGTCTCTTTCTCCATAGAGGAATTTTTTTAAATTTAATGTACATGGGCTGGAGAGATAGCACAGTGGGTAGGGCGTTTGCCTTGCACGTGGCTGACTGGATTCGATTCCCATCATCCCATATGGTCCTCTGAGCACCGCCAGGAGTAATTCCTGAGTGCATGAGCCAGGAGTCACTCCTGTGCAAAGCCGGGTGTGACCCAAAAAGCAAAAATAAAATAAAATAAAATTTATTGTAGACCCCCTTATTTTTGGCTTTGCTTTTTTTAAACAATTAAATCAAATAACCTCATCTGCCCAAGGTAGATATTCTAGAGATTGTCAAAAGGCTCAAAATTCTGAAGATGTTTATATAACAGAAAATCGACATAGTCACATGTTGTGATTATATATATATATATATACATATATATGTATATAGTCATTGTTTTGGGGAAATAAAAACTGATTGAATCCATATAGCAATAAGTGTATATCAATAAGCACTTCTCACCCTGCACTCAGGGGATGTAAATTTAAAGTGACACAACTTTGAAAGTTATTTAAGTGTTGTTGAGGTTTTTGGGTTTAAATTGAAGACTCATACACCTAATCACCCACTGATAGGACTCCTTAATGTACACTCAGAGAAATTCTTTTGTTTTTTTGTGTTTCGATCATACTACATTTTAGAAAGGAGATCATGCAGTTCCAGGAATTTAATCACAGGTAAAATGTGCTTCAATTCTTTAAGCCATCTCCCTGACCCCTAATATATCAGATAGCTTTTATTAGAACACATAATAAAAGTAGTTGTCCATGAATAGAATAATGCAAAAACTAGTTTACTCATACAATGCAATAATATAGTTATTAAAAATGAATGAATGTAGTCCTTTTAATAAGCATTAATAAAATAATAAATTTGTAGTTAATAATCTATTTTTATAAGCCTAAAATTACAAAGTCAAATATTTCTAAGGGTTTCAGTTGAAAATTTTATTTTATTTTGCTTTCTATCCTAGATAAAGGGTTGCAATTATAAACACCATCACATTTTTAGAATTGTAGTATCTTTGTGTGGGATAAACCAAAAAATTCAATGAAGAAGAAATATTTAGCTTAGATAAACAAAAACATACACTATATCATTGAATCACTGTCATCTCATTGTTCATTGATTTCCTCAAGCAGGCACCAGGAACATCTCCATTCATCCTAGCCCTGAGATTTTAGCAAGTGCCAAATTGGAGGCTCTTTCAGGGTCAGGGGAATGAGATCCGTCATTGATGCTGGGTTTTGGCATATCAAATACATCTCAGGGAGCTTGCCATACTCTTCTGTGCCGGCAGGATACTCTCTGTAGCCTGCCATGTTCTCTGAGACGGAGAACTAGAAAATAAGAGGTCTTGGGAGCTTGGTTTTATAGTCTCTGGATCTTGGCCATTGATGGGGTTATATGACCGGGGGACATTTGTGAGTGTGACTGCCTAGCTACTGGAAGCTGTGGGATCTAGGTGGAGGAGGCCCTGTCCTGATATGAGCAGGCTTGGAGATCTCAGCCCTGAGTCCCGCACATCTGGGTTCCTCTGCTGGCTCCTTCATGCGTGAGGCTTGTCCGAGTTTGTGGAGAGTGGTCTTAAGCATGGCTGTGGCTGAGTTCTGGAGGGCTTCAGCTGCCGGAACTCTGCTCAGGGCGGGGAGAAAAACTCAACCTGCCCCCCTCCAAGAGGCCCCGTCAGGACAGCCAGTGAGGGGGCATACGACTGCATTGTTCTCTTCATTCAACAAACATACAACAATAAAAAATTAAATGGGAGAGGAATAAAATCCTTCCTAATCAGAAAGATGAAATGAGGACACTGGAGAGACAGAGAGACAGACAGAAAGAGAGAGAGAGAGACAGAGACAGAGACAGAGACAGAGAGAGCACAGAATGAATGAGGCTCTCTATTCCCTAAACTCCAGAGGTTTCCCCAAGCCCTGTCATGAATAAGCCCAGAGCACAGTCAGATGTGGCTGAGAAACCAAAATCAAATAAAAATAAGGTGCAATGATGCCAATATCATTCTGGTTCTGATAATATATGTTTATTAAATGTACGTTTTAGATTTTATTTAATGGCATGTATTAAATTATGATGATTCTAATCAGTTAAGCTTTTCCTTTAAAGAAGGAAAGCTATCTCTGCAAAGCGAATTTACAGAATAATCAAATCGTCTTGTGAATACAGCAGTAGATTTTAGCAATAAAAATGACCTTTCAGGAGCAGCTTCCTAAGTAGCTGTTGACTTGTTTTCTGGCAAGTTAAAGAATTCAAGAATATAGGGGCCAGAGAAATAGTAAAGTGGGTAAGGCATTTGCATCTGCCTTACCTGAGACCTCGTAAGTCTCCAGAGGCACCAAGAGTGATATCTAAGCACAGAGGTAGGAGTAAACACTGATCCCCACCAGGTGTGAACCAAAACAACAACATTAAAAAATTGGGAATATAAAACATTTGACCAACAGGATGAGATTCAAGTGGTAGTGCACATGCCTCACATATGGGAGGTTGAAGACTTAGGTCTTGCTACATACACACACACACACACACACACACACACACACACACACGAGAGATGGGGGGAGTTTCACAAAGACCCATAAAATGCCATTTCTAGGGGAGGGTAAGGCTAAACAGATAACATTTCTAATTTATACCAACTCTTTAAGAACAAAAACTTTGAGCAACCTAAATGCTCAAAGGGTTGCTCAAAGTTAGAGTTCAGTAACATCTACTTTTGTACTGCATGCCATAAAACACAAACAGCATAGATTATAAGCACCTTCAACATTGTTTTATTTTCATAGTCACTCCGTCACAGGGTTCTTGCAAGTCAGTGGGAAACTACTTCTCACTGATGAAAGAAAGAAAGAAAGAAAGAAAGAAAGAAAGAAAGAAAGAAAGAAAGAAAGAAAGAAAGAAAGAAAGAAACTCTCTGCTTAATTTCTGTTTTTCTTTCTTTTCTTTGTTAAAGGTGAAAGTCTGGTTCCAGAATAGGCGAATGAAGTGGAAGAGAGTGAAAGGAGGACAGCAAGGAGCTGCAGCCCGAGAAAAGGAACTGGTGAATGTGAAAAAAGGAACCCTGCTCCCGTCAGAGCTTTCAGGAATTGGTGCAGCCACCCTCCAGCAAACGGGGGACTCTCTAGCAAATGAAGACAGCCACGACAGTGACCACAGTTCAGAGCATGCACACTTATGATAAATAGAGAAGATAAGCTCCATTCTCAGGAAAGAAGTATTGTGATGGCAAGCCTTACTCAAACATCGTTTACAGAGAGAGATGACTATGACAGTAATTTTTAATATTATTAAATCCAGGCATCTCCAGTCTATTTTCAATGAGTTCTAGGGGGTTTACACTAAGTGCCACTATTAAAGATACCTTTACAGCGAAGATGGAGGTGATCTTGCTCTGATCACTTTTGGGATGTATTTGTTGTGTGTATGACAGCAAGTATGTGTTTGCTTTTGCTTGCACTGAAAGTTAATTTTCTATCAAGAACAAACCATGAGACATTTGTATTCAAGATGCTTCCAGAATGAAGAATCGGAAGATGAATTTGCAGATAACATTCCAGATGTACGAGGTCATGAGTATGAAGTGGGCAGGTATTTTGCTTTTGCTTGCACTGACAAATTGCTTTCTAGAATAAACCATGAAACATTTTATTCTAAACAGCCAGAGTGCCTGAAATCACTCTTTAAGTGGATAAAAAAAATGTATTTTAACTCTGTATATATTACCCTTAAATCATTTTCCTGTCTTCACTATGTTTAGCAATGCATTCATATTAGCTGATGAAAATAGGCAATCACGATGACAACCAGAATCAACTTCTTGTATTTTTATACATTTTGTCATCCCAGAAACAATCAACACATTCTTCCTTGTGTTCAAGTAGAAAAAAGTACTTTAGAGTCTGATAGGACATATTGTACCACAGACAAAACAAATCTTATGTTGCATTTTCTATCAACTGCTGCTAATACATTATTATAAAACTTACCTAGCTCCTCAATTCTTCCTCTCTTATAGCTTGAAAAAAATTAGGATCATAAACAAGTCAGTTACCTTGCAGAAGTTTTTTTTTTATATTTTAAAAACTCATCTGGTTTTTATTCCTATAAAATGATAGCTGTTGAAAATACATTTTAATTAACAAGGAAGTGTTTTCCCCTTGTATTGCAATAATGTTAAACAAGTGTCAAAATAAAATTGATTCCTTAAGCCGGTAGATAATACAAATTTTGAATGTGTTCAAATTAAATTCAGTGCATATATATTTTTTCATACATGATGTATCACACAGAACAACAATCTTTGTATCTTGTAAAAAGAAATGTGTTTAATAAATGATCCTTTGTAAATAATTCTGGCTTCTCTTACTGCAATTTCCTAAATGCCCTACGTATTTTAGTATAAATACTTTAAAAAGTACCAAATGTATCTGCAATTTGGGAATCCAATGACCATAATGAACAAGTCATCCATATTTTATTTTGTAAACCAGTTATTCAGTAATCAAAGAATATAAGAGCATTTTAATTTTACCTATTTTCTTATTTGAAGAATTTGTCAGATGGACTTCTTGTATGCCTTATAAAATTGAAAGTAAAGTTAGAAGAAAAAATTTTATTGAAAATAAGATGAACAAGTCATATTTCAAGTTATAAAGAACAGATATTAACCAATCCAATGAATATATCTAGGTAGAATATCAAATAATTATTTCTCTGACTGATGTGCAAATAAGCTAAATAAGCAACCTACTCTTATCACATTACCAATGAAAGAAGTCAAGGAAAATAATATTATACTGTATTTTGTATTATGCATGATTATACACACATTGGATATCTAAGTCCTATTTTTAACATTATAAGTCTGGGTTTCTTTTTGTCTTTATTTTAACCAGAAGTGTTTAGGAACATCCAGTAACTCTCAACCCCAAATAATTAGTAATGAAACGAGAAAACAAATTGGTGAAAATTGCCAGATAACTTCACCATTTAATTTGGTTTAGAATGGTTGTATTGACAAAACACAGATTCAGTTCATTTTACTTTCTGTCCAGTATAATTTATAAAGTACTGAAAAAGTAAACAGTGGATTTGTATAAAAACTTTTCTGTTTATGTAATAAAATTCATCGTTGTCCTTAGCAGTATGTCCAAATTAACTTTGGGTAAAGAATAATCAGACTGTGGTTTTCAGGCATAAAACAGACACTCTTCTGTCACTCACTCGACTTAATATGCAGTATATTTTATACTGATGACATCTTCTTGGGTGGACTGACATTATTATTGTAGGATTTAAATTTGAAACATCTTGACAAATTGGAGAAGTGGGAAACTATAAATTGAATTGAGTTCAGTAGTGACAAAGTGGAGGATAATTCATTTGGGCAGGGAAATAATTTCCAGAAATAAGCAAAAAGGACTGCTTAGAAGTAGCAGAAGAGAGACATTAGGACTGTGGTCAAATAGCAAACTATAAGAATTACAATTTGGTATGAAAAATGAAGTAGGGAAAAGTGATTCTGAATAGATATGACATTTTGCAAATGTGAGGCATTTGTATTGTGGACCATAGCTTTAAAATAATATTGTTAACTCTTCTAAAGTGATATAAAAAAAACTTGACTTCAAAGAATGGGGAGAAAGAATCACCAAACACCAGCTGAAAAAAAGGCATTATTTAATTTATAAAAGATTAATGAATCCACCACCTAAAATACAGGGAATCCTATGTCCCTGTAGTCATTACCATCATTATAAAATGATGGCACAATGACAAGTAAACAAGCTGATTAGATTTATTTTAACTTAGAAATTTGCTATTCATCACTGACCCTAGGACTGAATCATTTGGCCACACTGTGTACCCAACGTATCACATGGGCAGTCCTTGTTGCTTTCATAACACTGGTTGGTGCAGAACCTTCAAAAAACTTGCAAACACTTTGGAGTACTTTATTATTCTTCTCTCTTAAAAGCAGCATGTAAATTAGCTAAATAAACTTCAATACCCTTCTAGAATTAAATCTAGTAAGGAAATTTTAAATATGCTCGCTTCTAGAATTAAATCCAGTAAGGAAATTTTAAATATGCTCGTGCACCATTGGGGTTAATTTGTCTACAGAATGACAAGATCTTAACTCACTTGCTACTCTTCATTGGAAATCTGGCAAGACATAGTATCTTTTTACTAATACCCATTCATATAATTCCATACCAGACTATGTAGATCTGTGGAATTTATAATAGCATAAAGAATTTTGAGAATTTTGTAAGGAACATGTTAGCATTTTTATTCCCAGTAAGATTAAAAAAACTGAACACTACAATTCTTTCCTAAAACCTGAGCAGCATATATTTAACGTATTATTAACATGGCCTGGATTTCTTTTTACTTCCCATATTTCCCTAGACTTGTCAACATATATTTTCACTGTAGAGACCTATGACCACAGTTTACATTTTGTTTCTAATATACTAAGTTCACTTAAAATAATTCCAATCACAGTTTTCATACTTGAATGATATCACATAAAATAAATATTGGTAAAATATTAGGATGGACAGAAAAAAAAGCAAAGTCAATCATAAAAGTACTTTATCTTTTTAATGGTATTTTTGTTTTGTTTTGTTTTGTTTTGGGGTCACACCCAATGATGCACAGGGGTTACTCCTGGCTTTTGCACTCAGGAATTACTCCTGGTGGTGCTCGGGGGACCATATGGGATGCTGGGAATCGAACCCGGGTTGGCCGCATGCAAGGCAAACGCCCTACCCGCTGTACTATCACTCTAGCCCCTTTAATGGTATTTTTAAAGACATTTTTAAGTGTCACTGTCATAAGACCCAGAAAAATACTTCAGTGGGTAACATGTTGGCTTTGTACCCTGCTGATCTCTGGAACCACATATGGTCCTCTGAGCACAGTCAGGAGTGATCCTTGAGCACAGAACAAGGGTTAAGTCTTGAGCATCATCCGGCAAGGCCCCAAACCAAACAAATATTTAAAATAGTAAAAAAAGAAAACAAAAATCTTTTTTGCTCTTCACTAACATTTTTAAAAGAAGGGGAAAGAGAGGAAGAAAGAGAAAGAAGGGGAGAAGGAGGAGGAAAAGCAAGAGGAGAAGGAGGAGGAGAAAAAGAAGGAGGAGGAGGAGGATGGGAAGGAAGAGGAGGAGGAGGAAGAGGAGGAGGAGGAAGAGGAGGAGGAGGAGGAGGTGGAGGAGGAGGAAGAGGAGGAGGAGGAAGAGGAGGAGGAGGAGGAGGAGGAGGAGGAGGAGAAGCAGAGGAGTAGGAGGGGTCAGGAGTGATATAGAGCCTGAAGTAAGCCCTGAGCACCTCCAGGGGCCCCTCCCCACCTCCCCACACACAGAACATTTGAATCATGACACATGCCTAACAAGCACCAAACCTGAATTTGATCCCTGTGTCTTTCCTTGAGCAACACTGTAGCCGTAACACCATCCATCGTTGTGGAGTGTGGCCCTGAAATTCCTGGAGTGCTTCCAGGGTGGTCCTCGTGGTCCCTTGCATCGCACAATCTGAGACACACTCTTGGACCCTAGCAATAAAGTAGTGGCTCTATGCCCAGCAACATTTGAAATCTGGCGTTTCTCTCAGCAAGAGTACTTATGAATACATTATTCTTGAGCAAAAGAGGCCCCAAATAAAACTTTTTAGAAAAAATTATAACAAATGCATTGCTCCTAGTTTCTGTTCTATCCCTCTAATCAATTCTCCACCCAGCTGGGTGGTTCCTTTAAAACAAAAATCAGGGACAGAGACAGCTCAATAGGCTAGAGAGCGTGCTTTGTAAGTAGGACACATCCTTACATCTCAGGCACAGCATGGTCCCCCAAGCATTACCAGGAGGAAGCCCTGACACAGATCTAGGTATTAGCCCCCCTACACCACCAAGTATGATGCCCAAACCAACAATGGCAGCAACAATAGCAACAACAATACGCAAATAGATTAGTAACTGATTCATGGAGACATTTGCACACTTAAAGTTTCTAGTGAAATCTGTAGCCATTGATCACACATGTAGGCATTAAAAAAATAGAATTAGAGGTGGGGCAGAGTGATAGCACAGTAGATAGGACATTTATTTTCCATGCAACTGACTAGAATTCAAAATCTGGCATACCCAAAGCCCTGAGTGCAGATCTAGGAATGACCTCCAATCATCACCAACTGTGGCCTTAAAACAAAAATAACAAAATGAAAAATAAAAGGCAATCAGATCATACCCTTCCTTTGCACATAAGATTTCAATTGCATAGACTAAAAATCCAACTGTTACCTACCTGGGACTTAGGATAGGTCAAGCCAAAACTGCTGAATCAGCCATACTTTTCCTACATGGCTGCAGGCCAACCTCTCCTTCACCACTTCGGTTTTACTCCCCACTCGTCAAGTCTAGCATTCCCCAGTTATTCTTCCTGGCATGCTTTTGATTAGTATTTCCTGAATTTAGATCCTCATTTAGAGTAGGTTTCCACTACCACATCGCCAATCCCTGATCTACCCTTCAAGGAATAATACTGTTTTTCATGGCAATTAGATGAGAGACTGCTCTTATCCTCTTATTGACTGTAGACTTGTAGAAAGTTGGACATTATGTATCATCAACATTTCTACATATTCAGTGCCTTGACAGTCTCTGGACACCCACTAACTAAATTTGTGTGAATTAGAACAGTTAATTCCTGTGTCAAAGTATTATAGTACCAACGCTGGTGACTTACATCAGAGCTCTCAACATTTTTCAAATTGGTCCCCCATCCAGCCGTTTTTCTTTCTTAAAGCCCCCCCCCCCCATACTCCCAGCTGTTTCCCCAGTCTTATGTAGTACAACACCCTTCATATGCAGGAATTTCATCTGTGATCTCCTTGCAATATCCTGGGGACCCACTGAAGGCTAAATTATCTTTAGTTGAGAAATGCTGTCCTACATGATTATTATAAAACTATATAATAATTCAAAATTAATGGCAGCCCTGGTAGTGGTCAGTGAATAATTATAAGATGTAATGAAGCCTGACAAGTTGTAGCAATTGATAAATATTTGTTAAATTGATGTATGGGCAAAATGACATGAGTTCCATTTGAAGACATATACCTGTACATTTAAGTTAGTTGTAAAATTGAGCTCTGGGAAAAATTAATATTTTTAATGAGCAATAAATTGGCATCTTTAGTCAAAAAAAATTGGTTATAGTCTTTGAAAGTGCACTGATAATAAATGAATTGAGATGCAACTAAATCAAAAGAAAAGTTAAGGGAAAAGTGCTTTTTAAAAAACAGATGTTCATTTATGGTTTGAGAGAAAAAGAGAAACATTCCTTGCACTCAGATACTTGTCTTGAAATTCTCACAATTTTTGTGCAGACAGTTTGGCTAGTTTCCAACATATATCGTTGCTTGTCTGGTCTGAAGAATGCCATCTGTGCAGT